GTCATGAGTCAGATTCTCTTCACTAATTTTACTGTGGAAACTAGTATAAACATTTGAGTCTAACAATCTTTCAATGCAAACATTAAGTTCAAATAAAGAATCCCACTTCAGACAAAACATATATAATTTGAATCACAAACTGCAATGTCATCCACAGATTTGTAAGCCATTCAAAAAGTTCAAGAATAATTTCAAAATGAGACTAAAAGTAAAAAGCATTAAATTTTAAGTGAAATTTAACATTATTTGTGAGGAGATTTAAAAAAACCCTGTTATTATTGGTTTAACTTATCTTTATCTTTGTACTGGGTTGACTAGTGTGTCTCATCCAAATTTATTATCCACCTCTACCTTATGAATATAGTGTTATTTGGAAATAGAGTATTTTCAAACATAACCAAACTAAAATGAGGTCATAATGGATATGGGTGGGCCCTCATCCAGTGACTGATATCTTTTTAAGAAGAGAAATTTGGACATAGACTCACATAGAAGGAATATGGCCATGTGAAGAAAGAGACAGCACTTAGAGCTATGCTATTATAAAAGAAACGATCCTCCCTTAGAGCCTGCTGACACCTTGACTTTGGACTTCTGGCCTCCAGAAATATGAGACAATAGATTTCTGTTGTTTTAAACTGTCTTAAGTTTGGAGTAATTATTTGTTACAGAAGTTCTAGGAAATTAATACAGTGTTTTATGCAAACAGGTAAAAAATGCTTATGAAATGCAACATTTGCAATGTTCTATAACTGCCCATTTTCTTCTGGAGACTGGAACTGTGTAGCATTTTTGCCAAATCCAAGCAGAATGTAATCTCCTCCAGGGAAAGGAATATTTCCTTATGGGTCTTTATTTTCTTTACCATCTATGCCAGTGCCTGACATGTGGTAGGCCCTCAACAAATATTTGTTGAATGAGTAAACATGTGCATGAATGAATGAATCTGCAACATTGACCTTGTTTTAGATTCCCTATTTTAATTTACTAAAGCAGAAAAAAATAAGATCATCTTTCAAAAGTGTTAGTGTTTAAAATTTATTTTTTTATATTTTAACAGCCCTATATAATAAATGATAATAGTTGCAGATGCATCAGAAGGTGATTTTAAACATATCCTTTTTATAAAAATAAAAGAACATTATGGGAATGAATTATAGGTGAATGTGTACTGCATGATTAAAAAAGTGATAAGATTCAGAGAGCATAAAACTAGTCATTTCATAGTCTCTACTTTCTTTCCATTTAAAAGTCTATGAATTAGCATATGCTGTCAGGAATAATGATAATCCATTATTGCTGTACCCCTGAGCGTAGGTGGCTGGGAGCTTTTTTATTTGGAAATGAAAAGCAGTCTCTAAACCTCACAAATGCTTCAGGAGGAGAGAGCGTGCCATGTAAACACATTAGCACAAATAATCTGCTGTGATAATTGATTCAGACTTACTGACCTTGGGCATATTGAACTTTTTATTTCTTTACTATAAGCTTCGGTGGGTTCAGGGTGAAATTATAATATAAAAGAGCTGCTCCAAATTTCTCTCCTAACAAGGTGAAGTATTGTGTTATCTGAATCACTAAATTTAAGAAAGACATATTATAACACGTACAATCATAGCACTTACCAAACCACGGAGTTCTAATTTCTCATTTTATAAAGGGAGAATTGACAGCCAGAGAGATGAAGCCACTTTCCCAGGGTCACACAAGTAACAGTAGGATAGATGTCTTGTTGCCCAGTTAAGTGTTCTTTCCAATGTACCATGTTGTCACTTTAAAATAAGTCTGCTTTAGCCAAGAGTAGATCATGGGTTTTCTGCCCTGGAAGCTAGAATCCTATCACAAACTCATGAGTAATCCAAGTGACTAACAATTTTAATCTAAATTAAAATATAGATGATCTTTAGATTATTTAGGTGAGTCCTAGGCATCTAAAAGCACAGACATTGAAAAATTAAGTCAAGCAGACCATCTAAGATGGTTTGAAGGAGAAGAGATAAAAACACTAAAAACAAAAATAAGAGGGAGAATGAGAACTTTGTGAGAAAACAATAAACTAGAGTTTTAACAATTTACTTTTGGAATTTTATTTAAAACTGTGTGATCGCAATATTTTCGACTTCTAAAATATTCCTTGTGTCATCTTGCCAGCTTCATTTGAATGTTTAGTACACCAGAATAAGGAGGACACATTAATTACTCAAGAAAAAGAAAGTAAGGGGCACCTGGGTGGCATAGTGGTTGAGTGTCTGCCTTTGGCTCGGCATGATCCCAGGGTCCTGGGATTGAGTTCCGCATCAGGCTCATCACAAGGAGTCTGCTTCTCCCTTTGCCTATGTCTCTGCCTTTCTATGTCTCTCATGAATAAATAAATAAAATCTTTTAAAGAGGGCAAGAAAATAAGGATCTTTATAAAGGGCACCATGTATCATTGAAAGTGCTAGGTTATTTAACACGTTTGACTTAATCCTCACAGATCTTCAAACTGTAAATTAAGCCTTTTTTTTAAATGATTTAAAGTTTCACAATTGAATAACAAATTTAGGATTTATATTCATCGTAACAAATATTTATTGATTCTACTAAACACAAGCCATATGTCAGACTACTTACCAAGAATTTAATATACATTTTCTTACTTGCTTTTCATATCAACCTTACAAAATAGAGACACTCATTATCCCAATTTTGTAAATAGTGTAATTGAGCTATGGGGATATAAGTCAGTAAATGGCATAGTCAAATCCCAATCCAAGATTATCTCAAACACTCTGCTCTTAGCCATTCTGCTACTACAAGTCATAATGTTTGTAATAAAATATGAATAATATCTCATTCTCCTAACCCAGTTAGAACCCACTATGTCCTGTGAATGATTAATTGATTCACACCAAGAAGTGAAAGGAGTATTTAGAGAAGGTACTTGAGAAAATAGTTTCTAAACAGGTCCTAAAAGATAATTTCAGTAGGCAGAAAGTAAGAAAAATGAATTCCAGGATGAGGGAATAGTAAGACCAAAGGCAAATGGAATTTGGAGGGAATGATATATAGTACAAGGAAATGAGACTAGAAACAGAGGTTGGGCCCAGGGCAAGGAGCCCTGTATACCAGGATAATGAGTTATGATTATATTCCATGGGCAAGGGGCAAATATGATTTTTGTTTTCACACTTATGGAAGGAAAGAAATTAATATGTATGGAAGTCTACTATGTGCAGGCAGTGCATTTGGCACTTTACATGTGAAATCTAGTTTAATACAACAATCTATAAGGGAGATAAAAATTATTTTGCAGACAAGCAGATTGAGGTGTGGAAAGGTTAACCAACTTTCTTAGGTTACATACAATGTTAAGTTTTGAACTGTGATCTAAATTCAACCCAGACTCCAGATGTTTTCTACTATCCCACTTAAAGTCTAAGAAGATGATGGGGGATCCTGTGAAAGATAGATTGGAGGAAGGGGACCATGGTGTCAGGGAGACCAGTCAGCAGGTTTTAAAAACCACTATGCACAAAGGGAAAGGGAATCTGAATTTCAATACTGGTAGTGGAAATGACAAATTTGAGATGGGCTCCAGGGGAATTGCAGAGGCAAAATTTGCATACACCTATCATAGAACTCAGTTGAGTCACTGTCGTTATAATCCTTACCTTTCTAAGTCTCGGTTTCTCATTTGTAAAATATGAAGAATAAATGAGCTAATGAATGTAAAATGATTAGCTGAGTGCCTCACACAATGTGCTCCATAAGTATTAGCTATTAGGTATTATCGGGAGGTGAGTAAGACAGGAACCCATGATGTCTCTCAGATTTCTAGTGTCTAGTACCAGTAGTTGCAATAAGGAGGTCAGGAGGATGTACATAAGGCAATACTACCTTTGCAGTCTTCATCTCCTAATCAGGTAGCATATTCCTCTGCAGTATTTTGTCCTAATGGTCTAAAGATGCTAAATAAAAGGCAGAGGTTATGAGAATGGGTTAAAAACATGACAACTACACACTGTCTATGAAAAACTCACTCTAGATATAATGCTACAGGCAGGCTGGAAGTTGAAAGATGGAAAAAGATATAGCGCACAGATATCAATCAAAGGAAAGCAGAATTGGCTATATTAATATCAGATAAAATAGACTTCAGAGCAGAGAATATTACTAGACACAGGGAGGATTATTTACATAGTGATGAAAATATAAGTCTACCAAGAAGATACAGCAACCCTAACTGTGTATACACCAAATAACAGAGTTACAAAATACATAAAGCAAACTGATAGAACTGAAAGGAGAGATGGTCAAGTTCACAGTTGCAGCTAGAGATTTCACTACCCTTCTCTCAATAATTAATAGAACAGTTAAACAGAGATCAGCAAGGGTATGGAAAAATACCATCAACTAACATGATCTAATCAATATTTGTTGAAAATTTTATAGAAGGAAAAACTTTTATTTATAGAAAACTATCCAATAAGAGCAGAATACAGATTATTTCAATGTAACATATACCAAGATAGATTGTATTTGGAACATAAAATAAATCTCAATAAATTTAAAAGAATTAAAATTATACAGAATGTGTTCTCTAGCCACAATGGATTCAAGATAGAAATTAATAGAAAGATAACAGGAAAAATCTCCAAACTTCTAGAAAGTAAAGGCACTTCTAAATAATCCACCAGTCAGAGAGAAAGTCTTAAGGGGAAATAAAATAACGTTAACTGAATGAAAATTAAAACAACATATCAAAATTTGGGGGATACATCTAAAGCAGTGCTGAAAGGAAATTTAAGGACTGAATGTGTACATTAAAAAAGAAGAATAGTCTCAAGTCAATAATGTAAGCTCCTGCTTCAATAATCTAGAAAAAGAAGAGCAAAATAAAATCCAAGCAAGAATAAGAGAAGAAATCCTAAAGATGAGAGCAGAAATCAACGAAATAAAAACAAAACAGTAGGGAAAGATCAGTGAAGCAAATAACTGCTTTTTTTTTTTTTTAACAGGTCAGTAAAATTGGCAAACCTCTGGCAACACTGACAAAGAAAAAAAGGACACAAATTACCAATATTGGGAATGAAATGAGCCATCACCACAGTCTCTGCAGAGGATAAGGAAATGTTACAAACCACCTTACGTACTTAAATTTGACAACTTAGAATAAATGGACTAATGCCTTATAAAACATAAACTATAATAATGCACCCAGTATGACATAGATAATTTGAATAGCCCTATAATTATTAGGGTAATTGAACTCATAATTTTAAAACTCTTAGAAAGAAATCACCATGCCCAGATGGTTTCACTGGAGGAATCTGTCAAACATTTAAAAGAGAATTAATATAAATTCTACACAATATCTTCCTGAAAGTAAAAGATGGAACGTAGTTTTGCCTTGTTACTAAAACCAGGCAGTATGAACAAAAATAAAAACAAACAAAAAACTACAGATCTATATTATTTATTAATATATATGCAAATATCCTTAACAAATATTAGCAAACAGAATTCAGTCAATAAGAAGAATTGTATTCCATGGTTAAGAGTCTATTCCAGAACTGCAGGGCTAATTTCAGTATTCAGAAATAAGCTGATGTGATCCACCATATTAATAGGCTAAAAAAAAAAATCACATGCTTATATCAATTGATATAGAAAAACAACTTGACAAAATTCAACATCCATTCTTGATAAACGTAGGAATAGAGAGTAAATTTCTCACTTTGATAAAGAAAACCAAAAAACAAACCTCTAACTAACATTTTACTTAATGGTGAGAAACTCTTTTCCCTTAAGATCATGAACAAGATTAGGATGTCAGTTCTTACCACTCCTGTTCAACAGAGTGCTGGAACTTCTAACCAGTGCAATAGTCAAGAAAAGGAAATCACGGGATCCCTGGGTGGCGCGGCGGTTTAGCGCCTGCCTTTGGCCCAGGGCGCAATCCTGGAGACCCGGGATCGAATCCCACGTCGGGCTCCCGGTGCATGGATCCTGCTTCTCCCTCTGCCTGTGTCTCTGCCTCTCTCTCTCTCTCTCTCTCTCTCTCTCTCTCTGTGACTGTCATAAATAAATAAATAAAAATTAAAAAAAAAAACATTTATCTAAAAAAAAAAAAAGAAAAGGAAATCAGATGTGGATCAGAAAGGAAGAACTAAAACTTCGGATGCCATGACTGGCCTATTTAGAAATTCTCAAAGAACATAAAAAGTCATACAACTAACCAATGAGCTAATCAAGATTACTTGCAAGTGGGATGCCTGGGTGGCTCAGCAGTTGAGCGCCTGCCTTTGGCCCAGGGCATGATCCTGGAGACCTGGAATTGAGTCCCATGTCAGGCTCCCTGCATGGAGCCTGCTTCTCTCTCTGCCTATGTCTCTGCCTCTGTGTGTGTGTGTCTCTCATGAATAAATAAATAAAATCTTTAAAAAAGAAAAAGATTATTTGCAAGTTAAACCTACAAAATCATATATATTTCTACATGGTAGCAATGAGCATATGGACATCAAAATAAAAAATACAATACCATTTACTGGCTCAAAAAAGTGAAATATTTAGGTGTTAGTCTAACAAGACCTGAATAGAACTTATATGCTGAAAAAAAATTACTTATATGCTGGAAATTACATAAAGGAAACCAAAGATCTAAATAAATGGAGAGATGACATATTGCATACATGGACAGGAAGACTCAACAAAGTAAAGATCTCAGTTCTTTCCACATTGTTTAATATAATTCCTATTAAAATCCCATCAAGATTTTTTTGCAGATATAGATATGATTATTAAAAAATTTGTGTGGAAAGGCAAATGAACTAGAATAATAAACCTACTTGGAAAAAATGAATACAGTGGAAGTAATGAAACCTACCTAACTCCAATATAGTTATGATAATCAAGACTGTGCTGTTGGTGGAGAGATAAATGAGAGAACCCAGAATAGAAGACCCACACATATATGCCCAACTGCTTTTAGACAAGTGTGCAAAAACAATTGAAAAAAAGATAGCCTTTTCAACAAATAGTGTTGGAGCAACTGGACTCCCATAGGCAAACAAAACATCTAGAACTAAGTTTTATATTTTACTCAAATATTACTTCAAAATGCTTCACAGTTTAAATGTAAAACTTTTATTAAAAACATAGGTGGCTCGGTGGTTGAGCATCTGCCTTTGGCTTAGGTCATGATCCTGGGGGACTATTCCTGCATCATGCTCTCTGCAGGGAGCCTGCTTCTCCCTCTGCCTGCCTTTGCCTCTCTCTGTGTCTCTCATGAATAAATAAAATATTAAAAATTAAAATTAAAAAAACACATAGGAGAAAATCTTCGAGATCTAAGGCTAAGCAAAGAGTTCTTAGACTTGATACCAAAAGCATGATCCAACAAAGGAAAATTGGTAAATTAGACATCATTAAAGTTAAAAAACTTTTGTTCTTTACAAATGCAGGTTCAGATTTAGTAGGTCTGTAGTGGTCTGAGATTCTGCACTTAGTAAAAGCTCTCAGATGACGCCGAGGCTGCTGATCCATGTCCTTTGCACAGAACAAAAATGTGCTGCACTTTTTGGGTAGCAAAGGATGTACAATCTGTAAGGCTCCTTATAATTCTAAAGCTGCATGATTTAGTGAGTAAATAGATTTTGTTAACTTTATCATGTTGGCAATTTAGAGAAGTAGAGAACTCAATTTTAATTAAAGGAATGACAGAAAGCCCCAAAAGCCAATTTTATAGCTGAACAGAATGAAAAACAAAATCTTATCTTTTTGAAAACCCTTCAATATATTCTAATGCCATATTTAAATGGCACTCATTTCAATTGGTGAACCGTTCTGATGAAAAATAATCAAGTTTCAGCATCAATCTTTATTTTATATTAATCTTATGACCATAATGTAAACTTCTGAAATGAATATACCATTACATTTAAATTGCTTTACTTTTCATTTATGGAAATTGGTATTCTCATATTTTCAACTCATACTTTTTGACTTTATCTGAGCCCATGAGCACAACCATCACAGTCTACAAGAAATCTTGTGAGAGTTTTAAATTTAAGTGTGTTGTTACTCTTGGGATTATTGAATAGGTTTTTCTATTCTCTGGTCTAATAGAAACTAAAATCTCTTGTCTTATCTCTAATGATGACATTTCAACTCAGATATGATATATCCAAATTTATTTCCAGATGTTTCCAATCTTTCTGTTTTTAAATCTTTTTTTTTAATTTTTTTTAATTTTTATTTATTTATGATAGTCACACAGTGAGAGAGAGAGAGGCAGAGACACAGGCAGAGGGAGAAGCAGGTTCCATGCACCGGGAGCCCGATGTGGGATTCGATCCCGGGTCTCCAGGATCGCGCCCTGGGCCAAAGGCAAGCGCCAAACCGCTGCGCCACCCAGGGATCCCTCTTTCTGTTTTTATAACAAAATAAAGAATAAACTGTAGCTTGAAAGGAAGCACACATTAATTCTATTGAGAAAATAAATAAAATTCTATCAGGAATAAATGAATCCTAAAAGATAAAAAATAGTTTTTTTATCTTAATGATATAGATCCATTCAATTGACTGCTATGTCAGTTAGAAATATCCTACTAAAAATGGTTGCATGAAAAAATTTTCTCATATCTCCTTGACCAGAATTAGGTCAGAAAGAAGATACATATTTTCATGTTTAAGAGAGATGTTCAATGTTCATGTTTCATGTTTCAAAGGATGAATACAGTATTCCTGGTAATATTATTATACTCTAAAGTGTTAAAATCCATGTTGATGGTATTCATAAAAGTATGGAAGACAAAAATGTTTTATCAGACAGTGTACTCTAGTAAAAAGATCAAACCAAAAAAAACAAATCTGCGCTGACATAGTTTAGAGGCATCCTGGGACAAGGGGGTGGTGATAGATTGTGGGTAAATGGTCACATAAAATCTAACTGATGTGATGAAAATATTCTAAAATGATTCATAGTGATTGCACAACTTGGTAAATTTACTAGAGATCATTCAATTGTACATATGAAATATAAGAATGATATGATATGTAAAATATCCCTCAATAAGGCTTTGGTTTTTTTTTTTTTTCAGAGCATTTGACTGATATTCAGCATACCTTGAAATACAGCACTTGTTCTGCCACTAAATAAATAGCTGTGTGATCCTACACAAATAGTGTACTCACTATAGGCTCTTATTTCATTATCCATATAAAAGGGGGAATTGGGCAGATGCACACCAAAGTATCTCTTGTCTTTTTCCATTTCAATATTCTGTGACTCCATTTTGGCAAAGTTAGCCTCAAAGAAAGTACTTTTTATTCCTTGAAAGATATCTAAGTAGAGATGCTCTTCTGAAAGAAATTAAGATCGCAAAATTTACTTTAAAAATTTGCCAAAAGAAATTATAGATCCAAGCCCCTTAAAGACCCTCCTTTTTTAAATCAATAAAGCACTGTTGCTGATGGATCATTTTCTTTGCTTTCCAGGTATATGAAATGTAAGCCACAATGCACTCTGTGCAATAATAATGTCTGTTGTGGGAAGATAAAATAATAAGAAAGAAAGTGAAGCAATTTATAAACCAATGTTTAGAAAGAAACCTGTCAGGAGGGTTTAACAATGCCTATAATAGTTCTGATTTAAATCTCCAATCATAAGAAACTTTTATTGAACACTAGACATAGATAAGAGACCGCATAATATTTTGTGCACATGTATGTGTATGTGTATATAAATGTATGGGCTTGTGTATGTGAATATTATATGCATGTGTATAATAATTTTTTTCTGATGATAAAAATAATACATTACAGCTTAAGTTTTGCAATTGAAATTATATCTGAAGAATATGCACCAAACAGTCCCTATGTTATAGCAAAGAATGACTTCCATGTGACTATAATTTTAAGAATTTTAATCCTTTTGAAAAAAAAGAATCATTCAACTATATAGCCTATATGGATATTCTGAGTTATCTAAATTAAAGAGATTTTCTTCCAGTTTTTGCAATATTATTATTTTCAAAATAGGGACAAAATTCCATAGAAAGTTTTTTTCATATTATATAGAAGATTAGTTGGTAAGGCTAATATTTATACCTTAAGAAAAAAGACAATAATGCTATTAGACTCTTGTGGTTTGTGCTGTATGAGTGTAGATAAGCTGAAAATTATATTCTCCAAAATCCCCTTCCTTGTATGCTTCCAGGTTAGAATTGGCTCAGTATTTGGGAGGTAGAAACAAGGCAGTAGCCATAACCATCTGGAGCTCTTTTCATGGGGAGACACAGGGATGGGCAGAAGAGGTGCCCGGCAGGTGCCCAGCTTGCCATTTCCCTCTCTTGCTCCACATCTAGCTTTTCTTCCTGACTACGGGCCATCAGTGGCCACAGATTCACCCCCAGGTGCTTGGCTGTGGACTCACTGAGGTCTTGGTTTATTTATAGGCAATGGTTTTTCACAGACCTCTACACAGATTCCCCCTTCGTGTTCCTGCATTGGTGACTTGACATACTTGGCTTCTCAAACTATGACTTATTGGTAACTCCATCCCTGACTCTGCAACTTCTCTTTCAAACCTTTACTTCCCCAGCTTTTCTCATAACTCTAAATAAGTCTCTTACTCCGTAACACTCGGAGTGCTTCTGCTCCCCTGACTAAATCCTAAGTGATGCAAAGTCCTATCCAGTGGAAGAAAAATCTTAAGAGAAAAAAAAAAAAAAAGAGTTGGTTTTTAATTAATTCAAAAACCGAAATATACTTATGGATAGACGTCCAACCACAGAATCTCATCCAATAATAAAATGAAGGGGGGAAAAAAAAGAATAGCCATGGATTCAAGCAGAGACCAAATAAAAGACTCAGACTCATGTGTAAGCTTGCAAAGGTAATGATCACAAAAAGAAAACAAATGATGGCCCACTTCTCTAAGCAGCTGTATAGAAAGAAGATGACTTGAAAGTATCCTGAGAATTCTATGGACTCTGTTTTAGCAAGAAGATGGTTTGAAGCAGAGGTACTTAAGTGAGGGAGTCTATATAGTCAA